ATTGATCTTTTAAGCAATTCTGGGATTCTGTCACTTAAAAACCAATAAATCTTTGAAGGCCTGAGGAAAGCAATGCAAAAGCAATAAATCTCCATTGTGGAGTATGAGAAAAATAGGCCAAGCTTCCGAGGTGGTTTGGATGGAGGGATGGGGGTGCAGGAGCCCCGCACAACAATCCACCCTTCTCCCCCTCGCCTCCCTGTGTGCTCAGTTCTACCAGGCAGAGTAGATTAGACCCATGGGGCTCCCCAGGGGCAGCAAGCAGCCGAGCAGGAGCTGGGGTCTGGCTAAGCCAGGACCAGAACGCTGCTGGCAGACGGAGGAAGAAAGCTACTTGGGTGGGGCCTGCAGCTGAGGCCCAGGGGTGAGGCTGCTGGAGAATGGGCTGCTCCACCCAGAGATGCGGGGTCCCAAGTTACGGGCTGGGCCTGCATAGTCCAGGGTTGGAGGTCCCCTGGGAAGGCATCTTGCCTGCCCCGGATTCTCTAGTTACTGGAAGCTCACTCCACAACAGCCCCACCGAAAAGTTACTGAGTCATCACTCGGCATCGCAGACACGGGGAACCCAGAACTCCTTGAGGGAGCAATGAACTCAGAAGCAGGAAGCAAGGTCCACACACAGACTTTGTGCAGAATGAGCTCCATGACCTTGGACCATTCAGTATCTTAGACTTCAGCTCCCTCCTGTGATACAGAGATGGTATGCCCCACCCAGCTCACTGAGTGATGATCACATGATACAGTGAAATTAAAGGAGCATTCAACTATAAAGTAGGAGTCCAGGCATCCGTGACCCAATCTATCTAGTGAGCTCATTGTGCCCTGTGGTTAGAGAGGAGCCTTCACTGTCTTCTCTATGCCCCCATGTCCCCCACCTGCGGGACTCTTCACTGGCCTGCTTGTCAGGGGTGTGCCCATCTCTCTGGACAGTGCAGTTCTTCCATCAATATACTGTCCCCACAGGCTTCAAAGCATCTTGTTTTGCCACTTTCAGCTCAGTATTGTGTCTGCTCATCTGCTTGATGCCCCAGCCCCCTTCCTGTTCACATGCACACTTGCTGAAAGTTAAGGCTCAAGAGGACAGGTGTGTATCTACCTTGTTTCCTGCTACATCCCCATTGCTTAGCTCAGTTCCTGGGACATCTCAAGGGCTCAATAAATATGTGTTGAATGATCTAATGGTCCACTGCCTCCCAGATGGGCATCCTAGTGCCTAGAGTTCAAGGTGAACGAGGGCTAAGGTAACTGAAATCTACTGGGATATTGCCACTGCTGTCACTGCAGTTGACCTGGAAGTCATACTAACTGGCACTGGTTAATCTCCTTCCCTTCTTGGCAAATGCCCAAGCAACAGTCTGAAAATAATCCCAGAAACTGAGCCTATACCCACTCTCAATGATCCAGAGCCTTGGGAAGAAAAGCAGTCAGACATTTACAGACACTAAGCATTGCCCCTTTGAGCAGTGACATTTAATTTTTTTTTCCCCCAATGGAAATGTCACCAAAGTATGTTATGCACAACTTTCTCCTCGGGAGGCTGTGAGAAATGAGTGTTGGCTTAGGGTCAGCTGAACTGAGTTTAAGTTCTGTCTGTACCCCTTGCTTGTTTTGTGGCCTGAGTCAACTTACTTGGTTTCTATTTATCTCAGTTTCCATATCTGCAAAATGGGGGAGACGATTATCACAACGTTGTGAGGATACAGATAATTTATGTACAGGGACAGACATGCAGCAAGGGCTTACTTGTTAAATGGAAACCAGCAGCCTCTTTTAACTTGAAGACACAGAACCTAACGCTACATTTTTAGTTGAACCAGAACAGCTAATGAACACCCATGGCTGTGAGGGGCTACAGCACGTATGCCTCCCTGTTTGCTGAATCTCTGTGTCTGTTTTGTAGACCTGCCCTGTTTTTCTGCTGCTACTCACTGTCATTTCTCACTGCTACTGGGGCATTTCCATTCCCACCTCCTAATTTACTACAGTCTTAGGATGTATGAGCTTATTACAAAGATGTGCAACTAAGAGCATGTAGGCTCAGAGGGAAAGTGTAAGGGGCACCTCTTTGGGGGAACTGGGAGAGCTTCCCCAGAAAAAAATAGTTTGGGCTGCTCAGAGGACCCCTTTTGGGAAGGGCTGGATGTAAATCTCATCTTTATCACTTGCTGACTATGTGAGCATGAACTTTGGTTTCCTCACTTCTAACAGGGATGTAATAATTCTAATAGGTTAGTCAAGGTTAAACTCTTGGAACGTAACAGTTGCTTACTTGCAATCCCACCCAGCAGCCAGCTGCCCAATAAAACATGGTGATAATTACTCCCATCTGTGTTCAGCTGGCTTCGATGAGTTTTCAGGGGTTCACAGACATATAATCTGATTCATCTTGAGGATGGGACCCTGAATCCTCTGTAGAAGAATTAACTTTATCCTGCCACTGGGCAAAACCAAGATTGCTTCTTTCTCAGTAAAATTTTTTTCTTTAAAAAGAAGTTTTTCTGAGACTTTGTGCTGGAAAGTAGTTAGGGGCTCCTAAGTAAAAAGCAACAGTCCTTCCTTCCCCATCATGGAATTAGGGTCTCAAAAGGCTTTGGAAATTTGAACAGGAAGGCAGTGGAGAACGCCGTGACCCTACAGAGAGGGTAGATTGTCAAACACTGTTTTGAAAGAACCTCCTAAGTGCCACAGAGAAGAAGCAAAGCTAACAAATAACTCTCGAAGGTCTGCTCTGCTTTGGGTACTTCCGTATTTTGTGCTAAGCCTCTGCGAAATAGCTACCATCCATGCTTTCCAGATAAGGAAAACTGAGAGTCAGGGGGGATTAAGTAACTCGCCCAAAGTCACACAGTAGTGTCAGAGCGGGATTTCAATCTACTGCTGGTCCGCTGCCACCAAAGTCAGGTCCTCTCCATCGCCCCACCCAGCAGCCAGCACACTACAGTGAGCTACATGGAATCTGCACCTGCCGGGAAGCCACAGTGGGATTGCAAGTGATGAAGTCCCCTTGCTGATTTGTAGCCTTGCAGTAATGAAAGGGAGTACCTGGGTCTGCAATATAAAGGTCGTGGGCTTTTGGTCAGATCTGACCTATGCACCTGGGTCAGCAGCTAACTTGCTGTGTAAAGTGGGGCAAGCTGTTGCTTTTTTCTGGACCATACTTTCATCATCTGAGAAGCTTTCTAAGATTTTGAAATGGTGACTGATGCTGCTGTATGAGAGGTAAGAGCTGGGAAAGGGAGCGAGGCACTGGTGGCCTGAACGGAACACATGATTTGGCACCTGTAGGCCCTGCACTCAAGTTCAGCTTTCCTACTTTTTTGTGTGCCCTTGGGCACTTCTGAGCCTCAATTTCTTCATGTGAAAATGAGGATCATCACTTAGAGAATGTGTAAGAGAGTGAAATCCATGTACAGAGAGAATCAAATGAAAATGTTGCATGAGAGTAACAGGAAGAAAAGTAGTAACTCAAGTAATTATTCATATGACATAAGAGCCACCACCTGTTTTGGCTCATCACAGGTAGGACAGTCCTGGAACATATGTGGAGAACATAGTTCTCCTATGTGGAGAACATAAGGTGAGAGTTCTATAGCCAGGTGCTCCACAAACACCACGCACACCCACTGCAAGGCCTGAAGGATTCACCTGACTTAGGGTAGAACACAGTCCAAAATCTTTAGAAGAGATGAGAACTTCCAAATTGCTGCAGTTGATTTCATTTGCTCCGCCACCTACAGTTTCTGGGTAGAGCTGGATCCGGTTTGGAAAACAGATAACTAGACCATCTCAGTTGCCTCCATCCTGGCTGGTCTCCCAGTCTCTGGTGTCACAAGAGTGATATTGCATGTGGCTATCCAGTGGCTTCCTGTGACCCCTCAAACAAACTGGAGATTCTCAAACATGGCCCCCATTCTCACCCGACCACTCCTGCCTTGACCTTTATGCTAAAGTAAATTCCAGAGCCTTGGATTAACTACTACCCATGCATCAGGCTGCTTCTCTCCTTCATGCCTTCCTAATGCTCGACCCTCTTACTGCCTTGGCAACATCTTATATCACATTTAAGAGACAGCTCGGTGTCACCTGAGAATGTCAGCTGGGAATTTCTTCTCTATAAGCATACACTGTATTGCAATTATGTTTTCATGTTTCTTGTTTCCCAACTGAAGTTTAACTTTCCTTAGGAAATGACTTATTCACAGCTAGTTTGCTACCATCTCCCAAGCGGTTGAACAGTGCCTGGCCCTGAGCAACTTGCTCAACAGGTGTTTGTTGAAGGAATGGACGAATAAATGAATCATTTGGGTCCCTTATGCCCCACCATTCCTCGTAGATAAGATACTCAATACATGCTTGTTTAACTGAACTGAGCCAATTTGAAAGCCACTGCCCTTGTGCAGAGTGCAGTTGTTTCCAAGAGATGCCCACCTTCCTGGCAACCGTGAGCCTGGGGACTTGCACTGGCTCAGCTTAGCTACTGAACTACTTGCACTGCCTTGGCCAGAAGTATGCTCCTCAACTCCAACAACCTCTTGTGAAAGTCAGCAGTATGACCTTGCAAGTCTTCCTGAGGGACTCTAGTACCCCAAGGCCCTAACTGGACCAGCCCGGAGGTCTTGTCCCATTTACATGATTAGTTTGTTTGTAGAATTCAGCAAGTCGGTCCATGTGTCTGTTATGGCAGTCATATATGGAAAGGATATCCTTCCAGGAGATTCTGTTTCCAGGCCTCCAACCCCACTAAATAAACTGACCATAGGTGTGTTCCAGGAAGTTCTCTCCCAGCCCTCCTCATGTCCCCATCAGCATGTTCCCTCTGAACCCATCCTAATTCCTCACTGCTGGGGGAGAGACTCTTGGCCCAGTGGCACCCCCTGAACTGAGTTTGGGGCTGCTGATTCTCATTTTCCAGAAGCCTCACTTCTAGCCAGTCCTGTTCATGGGCACTGCACGGTGCAGAGAAGAAAAAGCACGAAGTCCAGGAGAAGAACCCTCCTCACCTGACAGGGGCTCCCCGTGACTGAGCAGGCTTCAGCATCACCGTGATGGTCGTGTCCGTTTCATTCAGCGGGGTGTCTGTGTCATATTCCGGCATCGATGGAGCTGGACAGAGAGAGGAGGGCACTCAGCACAGAACTCCTGCTAGCTACCTCCCCTGCTGCCATTCCTAAAGACACCCAGGATGGCCAGAAGGAGGACACTGGGAAAGGGCTGGGTGAGAGTCACATGGCATCCCAGGTTTTCAGCACAGTTCTCCTTCCAACCTGCCTGTGGGTCCCTTCAAGGTGCAGAAGATAGAGGGGAAGGATGGCAGTGATGTGGCCACTAGCCCTCAGCAATCAAAGAGTTCCACACCATAAACAGATGAATGCAGGAAGTGTAAGTACTTAACAAAGATGTAAAAGCAGAGTCGACCTCCTTAAACACATCTGAAATGCAAATTACAGCAGTGATGAACTAGTTCCTCTTATCTTTTCTCTCTCTTTTTCACGAGACCCTCCCTTCTCTTATCCCCGACGTAGTCTAATCCCTTGGGAAGCTAATCTAGCCATCTGTATGATGAGCTATTAAAACCCATAGCCCTTTTAATTCAGTATTTTAATTTCTGGAATTTAATCCTAAAGTTATAATCCAAACCAAGGAATTAAACTGTATTCTGTAACATGTTTACTGAAGAGTTATTTTCTAAAAACATGCAACCACAGGGGAATGTTTAATTAAATTACGTCCATCCGCTTGACAGAACATTATCATGAAAGCAATGTACCAACATGTTAGATGCTTATGGTATAAAGATAAGTGAAAACATTAAGTTGCAAAAACCACTGTGGGTGTCTATGCAAAATACGTATGCATGCACGCCAGAGGTATTTGCAAAACTTGTAAATTGTAAAATGGGATCTGAGATAATTCCGTGTTGAATGTGTCTGGCGGTGGAGGGGACCCTACTGGTGACCAGGCGGGTGAAATCTCAGACACCCATGGCATTGTAACATTCATCCATCCATCCATCCATCCATCCATCCATCCATCCATCCATCCATCCAACATTTCATGAGAACCTATGGCTGTGCCCTGTACTGCCGAAAGGAATATTCTTGAAAAGAAATCATATTTTTACAAACGAATTTGTATGGGAAGAAGACGTCCTATTTAATGCAATTGTATGATAAATTATTTGGTGAATCACTTAGTGTTCCCTCTGGTCTAGTCTAATTAGTATGTTTTTTACACTTTAGGAGGTTTGTGGATTTGGTTTCTTCACGAACTACAGTGATACACGCTAGGGGATGCATCCTCTTACTTGCTCCAATACCATGAGGTGACAGCTGGCTCTGCCCTTTTTCACTCCCAGGAAAATTATGAATGGGGAAAAAACAGACCACCCTTCTTCCTTTCCCCTTTCTAAGACACATACCTGAAATTTTGGTGGCAATCCTAGTGGTGACAGGGGGCCCAAAGCCTTTTGCTGTGCTGGCCTTGATGGTGAAGGAGTAGGTGGTCCCCGGGTACAGACCCACAAAGAGGTGGTGGGTTTCATTCCGGAGCTTGAACACTTTCCCCCGCTGGCTGGAGAGGTCGGCACTCGGGTCTAGCGAGCCAACAGCCTTGTAGTTGATCTGTACAACAAGCCAGCAAACAAACAAATAAATACCTCGCGCGGGAAGCTAGATGGAGCTCATCCAGGGGAATGTCAGGAGAGCAAAGGAGAAGGAGGCATGTAAGTTTGAACAGCAAGTTCTGCTGGGATCGTCCACCTTACAGATGGTCCCAGCCTCGCAAGAGCACTGTGGACATGCGCCAGAGTGCTGCTGCCCAACAGAAATAGAATGTGAGCCACACCTACGCTTTTCAATCATCTAGTGGGCACATGAAAAGAAAGTAAAAAAAGTAAAATTAATTTTCACATTTTGTTGAACCCGATATATGCAGAATATTAGCATTTCAACCTGTAATCAACATAAACATTTAATGTGATATTTTAGATTCTATTATGCATATTAAGTCTTAGACATCTAGTATGTAGTCTGTCCTTTATGGCACATCTCCATTTGGACTAGCCAAGTTTCAAAAGCTCTGTAGCCCCGTGTGGCCAGCTGCTGCCACATTGGACAGCACAGCTGTAGAGCAGTGTTTATGTGTGACGTCTGACAAGAATGGCTTGGAAGGCCACTTAAGAATGCAGCCTCCTCGCCCCTTCCTCCCCATGGTGCTCTCTGCTGCTTTCTCACGCGGTATCTTGTTCCTCTTCCCTAAACCTCGGGGCATCAGGATATTTATCTCATTTAAATGTTGGAGAAATGGAGACTCAACTGAAAGTAACCTGCATTAAGTCAGCACTTTCCAAACTTTCTGTGGTGAAGGCCCAGTTTCATGTTTCCCAATCCATTGCTGACCCATAATATTCTGCAGACCCCATCGCGTGGGACTCATCATGTGAGTCTGGTAATAGCCACACCAGTCTGCACTCTGTGTAACCAGACACGTCCACTCCTCCCACACGGGGGGCTGTGGCAATGTCAAGGGACCATGAGAGCTTCTAAGTGCTCACTCTCTATTTCTGCACTTACCCTGCTGTGAGAGTAACAAAAACCGTTGGCATCCCAGCACCAGCCCCCATAGATCACACTTTTGTGTGCCACATTTGCAGGTCACACAGTTGTTAAAGTGACAAACACAGGATTGTATGTTTATTTGTTTCATCTAGTTTGTCCTATTAAACATGTCTTATTAGGGGTCCCTGAGTGGCTCAGTCGGTTAAGCCTCGGACTTCGACTCAGGTCATGATCTCACGGTTTGTGAGTTCAAGCCCTGCATCGGGCTCTGGGCTGACAGCTCAGAGCCTGGAGCCTGACTTGGATTTTGTCTCCCTCTCCCTCTGCCCCTCCCCTGCTTGCACACTGTCTCTCAAAAAGAAAAATAAACATTAAAAAAATGTCTTTAATTAGAGTATAACATACATACAGAAACTATACAGTCCAATGAATTTTTATTAACCGGACACACGCGTATCACCAGCACCCGGCTGAAGGAACATTACCAGAACCGAGATGTAGCCTGCGTGCCCCCTTCCAATCCCTCCCCACCACCCTTCAGCAAGGATAACCTCTATCCTGACTTACACACAGCACAGACTAGTGTTGCCTGCTCTTGTACTTTCTATCCGTGGAAGCATACAGGGCGGCTTCTTTCGCTCCACATTGTGGTTGTGAGAGGCGTGCGGGCTGTCATGTGTAGCTCTAGGCCATGCGTTCTCATGGTTGTTCAGGGTTCTACCCTTGACACACGACTAAACCCAGGTCTGTTGGATCTAAAAGCTGTGCTCCTTACTCTAGAAGTTGCTGCCCGGCCCGGAGACAACATCGCATTAACTAAAGGATGCGTTCACTCATTGATTCACTTGTTCCTTCACAAACGTGTCCTGCATACGCCTGCACCCTGGGGCCTGCACTGCACAACTGTTGCATACACAGCCGATGTGAACACAAGCTTGAGCCCATGCCCAGGTGTCTTCCTTTCTGAGCAATGTAGGTCAACGACACACACACCTTCTATCACTTTGTCTTCGGTCAAGAATGTCTTCTATGTGCCAGGAAGGCCAAACCCAGACAGAAACAGGAACACACCAACTTCACATCAAAAATAAGCTGTTTGCGTTTTCTGGCAAGGGCGCCATGCGTTTTAGAGAAAGAGGTAACTTCTCTCTCTGTCAAGCAGTAGCAATTGACGCTACATGCCGAGGAGGAGACAGACCGGACTCCTCAGAGCAGAGCAAGCCCCAGAGGAAAAACACGCTGAGCTGAAGGATTTGGGCACCTTGCAAGCAAAGCCTGGGCAGGAATACCTGTCCTGCAAGTCCTCAGTGAACCTGTCCCCAGCTTTCCCTCTGGTCACCCCCACCTGCTCCGCTTCTCAGAGAGAAACAAGGCAACCATCTGCCTCTCTGTGCTTGAGG